CTGGGCTGGGCCCTGAGCGAGGACTCCAGATTCACACAAGCAGGAATTCAGAGGCAGTCTGCCTGCCCTCAGGCAAGTCATGAGTCTCCGAGCCTCACTTATTTCAACTGTAAAACAGGGACACTGAAATACATCCTTTGCAGGCTTGTTGTGAGAACTTCTATAAACTCTCGGTCATGGATCATTCGGTGAACACCTATAACAGTGTGTGTTTACTATGTGCCATGCACTGTTCTGAGGGCTTTACAAGATAAACTCATTTATTTTTTTTTTTTTTTTACGAGAGAGAGCGCATGTAAGTGGACAGAGGGGCAGAGGGAGAGAGTCTTAAGCAAGCTTCACACCCAGCGTGCAGCCCTAGGCGGGTCTTGAACCCCAAGATCATGAACTGAGCTGAAATCAAGAGTAGGATGGATGCTTAATCAACTGAACCACTGCGGTGCTCCCCAAGATCAACTCAATCGTGGCAACAACCCTGTGGGGTGGTCTTTTTCTGCTACCAACTCACTGGGTGATCTGCCTAAAGCCCTTTTTCCTTTTCCTGGATCTCAGTTTATCCTTCTTCAAAATGGGGATGCTGGGCTAGGTGATCCTGTTCCAAGTCTAAAATAGGACTGATTCCCAAAGAGAGTTCCCAGGACACCTGGAATGATGCCTCTTTCACGCAAGCGCCCCTCCTCTTAGCTGCTGGTTGCAGAGTGCAAGGGGTGGGGTGCACACTTTCTCCCCAGTGCAGGCCAATCTTTGGCCGGGTGTTCCAATTGCCTGAGCCAGCCAGGCTCTTCCTTGCTCCTTTTCTGTACACTGGCTGAGCAAGCCCTGAGTGAGGCAAGCGGGCTGAGAGGCAGGCAGGAGACCCTCTAATCCCTGATTTGTCCAGCTCAAGCTCAGGCGCCTGCGGATGAGCTTGGCTCCATTATTCATCAGCCTGAGCTGCCTGGTGGCTCAGATTAAGGCAGACAAAGGCTGGGCCACAACATCTGCCTGCCAAGGCGGGGGCTTCACTGCCCCCAGTCCAACGAGCAGTGGCTGCAGAGGTGGCAGGCTCTGGACAGCCATTATCTGGGGCTGAGCAGCCCCAGGAAGTCTGCCCCCATCCCAGCCCACTGACCTACCTGGCCCCAAAGTCATTCCTTGGCCTCTGTCAGAGCCCAGAAAAAAACACTTTCAGGCTCCAGTAGCTGGCAGAGCACAGAATGCTTCTGGGTGCTTTGGCTCTGTTGACAAACCCATCCTTCACTGCGGTCCCCTCTCTCTAGGTCCTCTGTACTCATCAGTTGGTGTGACACCTCTCCTCAACCTGGGAGGTTCAGCCCCCCAAGGATGCCTGAAACCTTCAGACTTGGAGGCCCCTTCCAGGTCATCAAGGGGGAAGTCTCCAGAAAGAACTTTTCTTAACTCCTCCTTCTGGCCTCAGTGCTTTCCTCTAGCCCAGTGAGGAGCACTGGGTCACTCACTGATCTTGGATTACTGCTATACCTTAAAAACTAATGAAGGCAGGGGCCCCTGGGTGGCTCAGTCGGTTGAGCATCCAACTTTGGCTCAGGTCATGATCTTGCAGCTTGTGAGTTGGAGCCCTGCGTCAGGCTCTGTGCTGACAGCTCAGAGCCTGGAGCCTGCTTTGGATTCTGTGTCTCTCTCACTCTCTACCCCTCTCCCGCTCATGCTCTTTTTCTGTCTCAAAACTAAATAAACATTTTAAAAAATTAAAAAAAAAAAAAAAACTTCTGAAGGCAGAAGAAAGAGAAGGTGCAGGCAGGTAAACCTTAGGCTCTTCCTCAAAGTAGGAGAGACTCCGTTGATAACCCTGCCCCCCGCCCCCCATACGGCCCAGACATGAACAGAGGGAGCCCCACAAAGCTCTTGCCCTGACCTATTAATTAATGCAATGGGCCTTCCTTCCTCACAAGGCCCAGCCACTACCCAGCAGCCTGTGTAGGAGCCAAATGTAGATGCTGGGTCTCAGCCAAGGCCCCCACTTTGTGGCCTCGTTCCAACCTTGCTGATGTCATAAATGGCCTAAGGAGGGTTAATTGGGGGAGACAGCCCCAGGGAATAGGATCCAGGTTGTGGGGGAGGGTGGGTTAGAACTCCAAGGAATGTGAGCTGAAGCTTTAGTCTTCATACTATTCTAGGAGGGGCAAACCAAGGCTTGGAGAAAGTTAAAAGCCAGAAGGTTCATAGTTCAAACCCAGGACCCAGGGGACTTAGAGCTTCCCTACTTGCTCCAGGAAGCCCTCTGAGGTGTCCCTTCCCAGATTCCAGGGAAAGGGTGGGTCAGAAGCACCTGGCAAAGACAGGGGCCAAACCAGACTGGTGCCCTAGGGAAACTTATCTCCAGTGCCCAATGGTTGCAAAGGCTTGCCCACGACCTGTGCTGGGCATGGAGGCCAGGGAGTTAATGTGTGGCTCTGTCTTCAGGGCTCCGTGAGCATCCAGCGGAGCAGGGCTGGGCCAGGACTGTCTGGGACGAGTGCACACAGACAGGGCCTAGGTCAGAAGGTAGGGGCAGAGCCCTGCTGGGTCCTGGGGGATGGGAGCTTTCTGAGCAGAGCAGCCAGGGCTGGCAGGAGGCCCACCTCAGATAGTCGCGTCGGCACAAGATGAGGTTGGCCTTGGTGTAGAGGGTGGAGCCCACCTCGCCCAGGCGGCAGTCACAGCAGGCACACTTGAGACAGTCCTCGTGCCAGTACTTGTCCAGTGCCTTCAGCAGGTAGCGGTCCTTGATCTTGCGGTTGCAGCCCGCACAGCCCTTCTGCTTCCCTTTGGGCTGGACGGAGAGCATCGGCACGCCTGTGGATGGACAGATGACAGACAGATGGACATAGGAAGGGCCCTGTGGCTCCAGGCCCCGGGAGCCATCCCTCTGGGAATAGGGGCCCACTGCTTCTCCTGGGGGTTCCCAGGCATCCTCACTTTCTCCCCAGCAGCCTCCTCCCCTGGCACCGGGTCCTGTCCTTCCAGCTGTACAGCACAGTCTGTTCCCTGCCCTGAGAAGATCCCTCCAGAAGCTGCAGCGGCAGCTGGGAGCCCCGCATCTGCTGTGCTGCAGGGCACACACATAGCCCCAAGGCCCAGCCCCCCTGAGCTGTGTCTCCCGTCCATCCTGCCACTGCCTCCTGTGTGGTCTGCTCCATAGGAGGCCTGAAACCCTCCTCACGCAGCCACCATCTGACTGGCTCTTTCAGTGGCCCGAAGAACTGAATCTCATAATGGGCTTGGGTCCGCTAGAACAGATCTCTCACAGATCTTTTTGCGACCTCAAGACTTCCTCACATTGTTTGTGCCTTTGACCATTTTAACCTAAAATGTCAGGCGACAGCCTCTTGGTTTATTCATGTAGACCTGTGGCAGTATCAGGAACAAAGTGGGGTGCCCCATGACACTCCCAGTGGGGTGCAGGAGCTCTGGGTCATCCGGCAGATGCCTGCAGCTGGGCCTGGCCTAGTTGGGGCTCTCCTTACGAAAACTTCTGGCTAGATTCAAACTTTTTACCTGCCCTGGCTTGAGGGAGGGGAGGTTCAGAGTCTCTCAAGCCTTCCTCCTCCCACCAGGATAAGAATCTCTGAGCCAAGGTAGGGAGGGTGACAGGCCAGGGGGAGGTGGGGGGGGGTGGTTGGAGGGAAGCTCCCAGGGCCCATGGGTGCTTCTCAACATACAAGAAAAAACACAAGGGCAGGAATTTCAGCACGGAGCTTCCTGGAAGGAGAGGCAGACCTCCCAGTAGGCAAGTATATGCACTCATGCACATCACACGTACACAGGCGTAGCATGCAGGCATGTGCACAGAGGCACAGCCTCCTACCCTCTGGCCTTGGGGCCACAAGGAGTGACCACAGGGAGAAAAAGTTGAGGAGGAGGTGGGGACCGATGTTGTCCTGAGTCTGGACATGTGTGTAGAGCCCTGAGGCTTGAATGTGGTGAAGATTATGCTCGGAGGGACGTGCAGGGAGTCTCAGAGCCAGGCCCAGGCTGGGGGCAGGTGGGAATGCCTGTAAGAGTTGCCTGAGAGCCCCTCATGAAGGCAGTGGGGGTGGGGGGTGCCTTCCCTGACATGAGCTCAGGTGGAGGAGTCCACTCTGGAGGGGAACAGCCCACCCCTTCCTGCCTCCTTGGCTCCCCACCAAGCCTCTGGAGTCTACCCCTCTCCTGGCCCCATCCTCTCCAAGCGACCCCAGCACTCTCCAGGGCTCTGGGCTCAGCTCCCACCTCCTGGCATCCCTCCTACCCCACCCCCGGCCCACTGCCCCCTTTCTCTTCCCCCTTCCTGGCACGTGACCCTTCCTCCGACTTCAGAGGAGGACCAGCCTCCAAAGGGCCCCAGTCTCAAAACCCACAGATGTCAGGTCAGAAGGGCCCTCAGAATTCTTCCAGGCAAATGTTCTGAGAAATGACGGAGAAACCAAGGCACAGAAGGTCTGAAGGTAAAATCTAGTGTAAGCCACTAATCAATCTGGCCCTGGGGGGTCCTCCCTGCCTCCTGCGTCTCTCTTGGGGAGGGGACCCGCCAGAAGCAGCAGGACAGGTGAGGGCAGGGGAGAGGCAGCTCAGGCTGCCTTCCTCCTTCCTCCTTCCTGCAGTCCCCGCAGGGCCTGGCTGTTAGCTGGGAAGCTTGCTGACTAATTTCCTTAATGCAGCTCTAAAGGTTAATTGGTCTGAGAGAGTGATGAGGCCCAGGATGACTACGTCCTCAGGCCTGCCTGTGTCTCCTCTGGCCGGGTCCAGCCTGGTCACAGAGCTCTGAGGAGGTCGTGGAAGCCAGCCGGGGAGCAGGCATCCCCGAGAGCTAAGGGGGCTCTGAAGTGTTTTTTCCAAGGTCTGGCCTACAGGGAGGAATCAGGTGTGGGCAAATGGGGGAGGGGTCAGGACAACTGGAGGTGAGGAGGTGTGTGGGTCCCAGGGTGGGGCTATTGTCCCCGGAGCCTGTGGAAGAAGCAGCCAGCCAGCACAGCTGTACCTGTACACGCACACCAACTTGGAAATCTCAGGCCAGGCCCCTAGGGTAGCTCCACTAAGGCTGGCTTGCCCCTTGCTTACCTGGACTGGCAGCAGGCCCGAGCCCCCCAGGGCTCTACGCTTGTGCTCTCAGTAGCAGGGGGTGTGTGAGTAACTGGAAAAGCCACACTCAGGGGATCCACCTGATCCACTAGGTTATACCCCCAAATAAGGAAGGACTCCAGCACTAAAAGTGTCTGTCCTGCTCTATCCTCCCTCTGGCATGGCTTCTGGACAGGCTGGCCTTCCAAGCTCAGGCCCCAGCACGCCTAGCAGGCCCCAGAGCCTTCAGGGCTGTGAGCTGCAGCGCGAGCTGGCAGTTCCATCACCGGTGGGACCCTGAACCTACAGGACCCAGGGAGGCCATGAGGCGTGAAGTCACAAGCTGCCCCCAGGTCCCTTGTCCCCTGCCTGTGGTTGGGCTGGGCCTGGCACTCAGCAGTGCTCTGCGAGGCCTGGGAACCCTGCTCTAGGGTACTGAACTCTGCTTCCTGGGCCCTGGAGAACTCTTAAGAAGTCATACAGATTTGGGGTGCCTGGATGGCTCAGTTGGTTAATCATCTGCCTTCAGCTCAGGTCATGATCTCACGGTTAGTGAGTCTGAGCTCTGTGTTGGGCTCTCTGCTGTCACACAGGGTCTGCTTCAGATCCTCTGTCCCCCACTTTCTCTGCCTCTCCTCTTGCCCACACGCGCGCGCTCACACACACACACACACACACTCTCTCTCTCTCTCCCTCTCTCAAAAATAAAAATAAATAAAACTTTAAAAAATTAAAACAAAAAAAGAAACCATACGGCTTCTGCCAGTTTCTGACACCCACTGAGACACAGAACTGCAGGGCCAGCCTGCCTAAGGAGGTCCCAGGGCACAGGGACCTTGAGCCTTCTCTGCCTAGGAAGGCTGAAGTCCTGGGAGAAGTCTGACTCACCCCTTCCTTCTTTAGGGAGCATCCATACTGTTTGCTCTCACTGAGTTAGTTCAGGAGACTTGAAAACACTCCTGGAAAGGCAAGGAGGTTTAAAGGGGGCATCTCTGGTCTCCTGCTCCCTAAATGAAGTGAAATGCTCCCCAGAGGGTCAGGGCTCTCCCTCCCTGCCCTGCCTCCCCAGCCCCCACCCAGCCTGCCAGTCAGCCCCGCAGACACCTCTTCCCTCCCTCCCCTGCCTGGCTCTGGGAGCTGAGCCTCGGGCCATGCACTTTCCATTAAGGAGATAGCATCCCTTTGCTGAAGTCCATTTGGGATCCATTTTAGTGTTATCTAAAAATCAAATCTACATGGTAATCCTTTTAATGTACTCCTGACTTTAGGAAAAAAACAGCTTTGCGCTCCTTCAGGAAAGGTTTTAAAGCATTACCCAGTAATTACTACTCACCCATGAAAACACTGATATTTTACAATGGATGATGTTGAGCCTGCCCGCACGTGCGGGCACAAGCTCAGACATACACGGGGACCCAGCCAAAGAAACCAGTTCACATAGCCTATTTGCTCCTCCTCAATCTCAGGGTGTTGGGGGATGACATCTGAGGGGAGATCGGCCAAACCCCTACCCCGCCTCTACACCAGGCAGGCTGATAGTGGAAGGAGGCAGCCTCCCAGTCTGACTCATCCGGCTGCCAGACACTTACCCTTAGCTCTTTAATCTGAGGACAAGCCAGACAGTCCCAGTGACCAGGAGGGACTGCCAGAGGTCATTTGGCTCTTTCCACACCCACCCGCCAGCCAGGAGAGAAGCCCTCCTCTTCACAGGGACCCCCCCAAGTGGTCTGCCAGGTCAGACCCAGTCCTCGGCAATCCCCGCCCACCCACCCCAGGCCACGCTGCCCCTCACCTTCAGCACGCGGACCTCTCCAAACTGCCAAGCCCGCTGCTCCCAGTCCCACTGATGCCTCCAGCGTGGACAGCAGGCTGAGCTCCTCCAAAGCCAGTCCTCTGTCCTGGAATGCCCACCCCATCCAGCCCTGGTTCACTCTGAGCTATGTCTTGGGCCCCTGCACCCACCACTGGCAGCTCCACCTGGCATGTGAGGCTCCCTCCCACATCCAGCACATCCTGCTTGGCCCTCTGGATCTGCTCCCTGCGGAATCCTGGAATAGCATCCCTCTCCATCCTGCAAATGGACCTGGTTTGCTTCTGTCCCAGGACCTTCCTTCCATCGCTGCTCCCAGAAGAAAGGCCTGGTCCTGCCCATCCCACCCTTGACCAAAACTCAGAGTCAGCACTGGGGCTGAGGCTCAGGGTACTGAGCTTGAACTCTGAGAGCCTACTTTCCAGCCTGAGAACTGTTCCAAGTAGCTGGAGGTTCTGGAGCAAATCCCTCATCTTTCTGACTTGCTGTTGTGAAATGGGAGCCATAAAGGTCTCTTTCCACACAGATGACGGTGAGGACAGAAAAGGTCATACATATGAAGCCACAGGAGAGTCTGGCATCCAGCAGGGGACACACCGGAACTGGATAGTATTATTAATATGCATCTCAGGATGCCCTCCCCCTGTTCTGACACTTGTTTCCTTTCTCCTTTAACTTTTTATCTTGATGTAATTTCAAACCTTCAGAGAAGTTGCAAAATAGAAAGAATTCCTGTATACCTTTTGTGTAGATTCCCTAAATATGGGCATTTTATCATGTTTGTTTTATCCTTCCCTACAGACCTCCCTATAAGATCTATAATATTCTTTCCGACTCATTTGAGAGTTGGCTTCGGACATGAAGCCTTATAATCCTCAATACTTTGATGTGTGTTTCCTAAAAGCAAGGACATTCCCATACAATACGATTAACAAAACCAG